ATATCATCTCTTATTGATCCAGTGTTACTACAGGAGGAAACCTAAACTAAACTAATTTTATTTATAAATTGGATAGCTCTATCAGTTCTAAACTGTTCTTCCTAGAGGTTCAGTAAGGATCGTCTCTTATTGATCCAGTGTTACTACAGGAGGAAACCTAAACTAAACTAATTTTATTTATACTGGATAGCTCTATCAGTTCTAAACTTAGAGATTCAGTAAGGATCATCTCTTATTGATCCAGTGTTACTACAGGAGGAAACCTAAACTAAACTAATTTTATTTATAAATTGGATAGCTCTATCAGTTCTAAACTGTTCTTCCTAGAGGTTCAGTAAGGATCGTCTCTTATTGATCCAGTGTTACTACAGGAGGAAACCTAAACTAAACTAATTTTATTTATAAATTGGATAGCTCTATCAGTTCTAAACTGTTCTTCCTAGAGGTTCAGTAAGGATCATCTCTTATTGATCCAGTGTTACCACAGGAGGAAGTTACATAAATATTAAATAGGCATTTATCTAAGTTAATAAAAGACACTCGTTTGAAAACAGTTATGTAATGAGAGTATATTAATATTACACTATAAACAATCAAATACAATTAAAAGATATTACATGTTTAGCACCACAACAAATATATATTGTAGGCTTGGCAATCAAGTGCAATTACATATTATTACAGTATAAAGTAAGATTGGTTTTAATATTTAATATTAAGACTACAACAAATACTAAGGCTTATACATTAGAATCAAGCGAAATGACAATGGCAAGATGTCCAAATCAAGCAATCAGGACTTCCTTGTCATCAAATGCCAATTTCTCTGGCAAGGCCTCAGCCTCTTCGTCCTCCATCTCAAATTCAGCCTTGAACTCGTCACCTTTGCTTATTTCGTAAGCTTTCTTGCTCTTGCGACAACAACACATGGCACAACATACCACAGAGGCTAACACGACAAACACCACACCGACCAAGATAGCAACTCGGGCTCCGAAAGGCAGTTTGTGGAATCGCGAGCAAAAGCTTTTGCCGTGATGGTGACCCTGGCAGAAAATTTAAAAAAAGTCAAATCATCATCGATGATCACGGATGATGATGAATGATCATGGATTATTAAAAATTATGGATGAACATGGATGATGAGAAACGATAATAATGAATGATGATGGATGATCATGGATAATGAAGAATTCCCAACTTACATGATGACCATGTCCGTGACCATAGCCCTCGTGTGGCAAAAATGGTTTCTTCCACTTACGAGGTTTCACATCATCTGAAAGATTAAACATGTGCACATGTGTGAGCATAACTAACTTTACTTATACTGGATAGCTCTATCAGTTCTAAATTGTTCTTCCTAGAGGCCCAGTAAGGATCATCTTTTATTGATCCAGTGTTACTACAGGAGGAAACCTAAACTAAACTAACTTTATTTATACTGGATAGCTCTATCAGTTCTAAACTGTTCTTCCTAGAGGTCCAGTAAGGATCATCTCTTATTGATCCAGTGTTACTACAGGAGGAAATCTAAACTAAACTAACTTTATTTATACTGGATAGCTCTATCAGTTCTAAACTGTTCTTCCTAGAGATCCAGTAGGGATCATCTCTTATTGATCCAGTGTTACTACAGGTGGAAACCTAAACTAAACTAACTTTATTGATAAAAGCTGTGGTGTTTCATATAATCAGACGGGAAGCGCTCTTCTTACAAGATTCAAATGCTGCCCACAGATTGAGATGAAAGGCACAGTCACTAATGACTCACTGTGCCAGCAATATACAGATGATTAACTACATGTATTCCCTCAATTGTAGTTACAGCTAGTATATACCTGGTCCACAGTAATGTGTCAACTCAGTCTTCTTGATTTTGGATTCTTCATACGAAATCACCGCAACTGTGCGTTTATATTCTTTGCCATCCACATTCATGTGAATTGTCAGCACCTGCGAGCGGGAAATTTGGTCTTTAGCTGATACAAACTCAAGACTTAATGTGTACTTACTGTAGTCTTTTAATTTTTAAATAAGGCACAGGTTTCTGAAAGGTATTCATTGAGTCATGGGGAACAACAAAAAATGCACATGCAAACACTTCAATCGACTCGAACATTTGTTAGTCTAACACTGTTTAACACTAAGTCAAACATTTCTTACAAATCCTTTAAAACTTAGAGCTTACCTATGCAAAATTCCTACTGTGATCACAGAAACTTTGATAGTGCATTTACCATTTTACGGCTAAATTGGCCTAACTTCATGCAGCTAACAGTTGACTTCAAAATAGAATTTGACATTTGCCGTGGGCGCTATTACCGAATAATTACCATACGGCTTTGAATACTTGGGTTTGGAAAGGTCAGAGTTGCAGATAGCAAGAGTTCCGCAATGCACTATCAGTCTGTAATATTGGCGAAGAATGCAAACAATCACACCCAGAGTTGCCACTGTCATAATACCTTAACATCGAGTTGTTCAACTCGCTTTCCTTCAATCAACTGCACTTGTTCCTCGATCAAGTATTCGTGTCCGTTTTCCAATTGTTTTCTTGAGATCATCACATGAACAACGACTGGCGAGATACGGATATCTTTTGCCGAGTACACTGAGAAGCGAAAATGCAACTTATGTCAGTCATGTTTGGTGGGCAAAAAGATTTAGGGTCAACCTGATCGAGTTGAAGGCTGTCTAAGGGCACCTCTGGTAGCCACCTTACGACTCATGTCTGATCACGTAACGCAGACGGTGGAAGGGGCAGTTATGGGGTTAATCCCAACCCACCCTGTAAACATTCCCTGTGGGAGAAACCAGAGTGCCCAGAGAAAATACACAACTTTCGGTAGAACGTTGACAGACTCTTTTTAGATAAGTGTAACAATGTCAACAGCAAGAATCTCATAGGTAGAAGACGCTTGCTCTGAAAATTGCAGTCGCCCAAAGCCCCAATACTGTACTGTACTTACCAATCTCAGCTTGGAGTTCATACATAACAAGAACATTGAGCTGCGTCAACTTTCCGTTCACTTTCACATCGTCTTCTTCAATTGTCACATTCAAGTTCACCTGGAAAGTAAATGCCAAAATTTAGATGTCGCGTCACATTCTGGACACATCTCAAAACATAAACACATAAAACTTGTGGTCAATCCTCAGCAACTAGATTCTGTAACTCAGTGGTCAGAGCACTCCTCTACAATCGCAAAGCCACAGGTTCAATTTCTTTCAGAGGAACTATAGTCATGTTTTTCACAATTGCTCTGGATTAGTTCTAAAACATGTATATCCCATTTACTGGCCATACTTTATTACTTTATTCTGAACACTGCTGCTCAATGGGTTAAATAACCCATTATCTTGCAACACATTAGACAAAGTAAAATAACAGAGTGTGGTGCATTTCAACCTACTGTATTTAAATATTTTACTCTCCATTTCAATTTGCTTTGGAAATCTGACACTGAATGTTTGTTTGTAACTTCGGAATGTTCGTTGCAAGGTTTACGATGCTTACGATGACTCAATAGAAGGCAAATTGATTGGCTGGTTCATTTAACTAGCCTGAATTACAACTTGATCATTGGAAATCATCACAACAAACTTCAAAACAAATTTCGGAACTTTGCATAGAAACATTCCGAACTTACAAATAAACATTGCAAGTCAGATTTCAAAAGTAAATTGAAATCGAGAGTAGGAAGTGACATTGATGGGCAATTGTTTACCAAACAATTCCCGTAACAGACAATTAATTGTGTACAGTAGCATTAAATAGTCGAGCAAAGTAAGAAAGTATGGAACATTCAACTACCAAAAAATGTGAGCAGATATTCTAGTTAACCTATTTTAACGCAATGAGCAACAGCACTCTCCACTTGAAGAGTAAAATCATCTGACATTAGACTGAATAAAGTAATAATGTAGGATGCATCATGGCATAATGCAACTTAATGGGTTCATATTGTCAAAGAGTGTTCTTTTCACAAAGTAAATGGTCAGGATATAGCCATGGAAACATAAGAAAACAGAGCATGAAATAACTTTAAAAGATTGTCAGAAACCAAAGTGAAATCTGGACATTTATTTTAAATTCATTTTGACTCCTAACATCCTTTGAGTAAAGCATCAAAATAGATAATATTACTTTACGCCAAAGGTGAACTAGAAAGATTTGTTTCGATACTTCTCTTGATTGAAACCGAATATTAGAGTACATGGATATAGTCCAAGTGACAATATATATACACTTTTTAACTCTCAAACGTGACAATACACCATTCGGGAAAGTATGACATTTGGCTATGGAGCACCGTATTTATGTATGTGAAATTAGTTAAACCAATGCTCTTAATCACGAAAATAATGCTCTACCGCTAAAGTGACATACTGTATTCCTTGTGAGGTGACAGTCAGTCTTTGGTTATATTTCTTCCAGAATGCAGATTGCTATTTCTCGCATTCGGTCAGAAAAGTTGTCAATTGGTTGAGGTCCAACCAATGTTTTCGGGGTCGGCAGAAAGGCTGAGTTGTTGTTTAAATCTGTTGGAATGGAGCCTGTCTCCAAGGGAGTATTCAAAATAATATGCACAGTCATGGAATTTTCTGGGGGAGGAAAAATTAAACATGCTTATGTAATTAGCTCAAGGCGAGATCAAACGAGGATGAGAGGGCATATTAGCGTTTCTTAATGCTTTCCCAACACTATCATGTATTCTATTTAAATTAAAACATAATTGGAACACTCATCAGATCTTTATTTTGTTCATCTAGAGCTTGAAATGTCTAATAGTGCGTGACTTCCTCGTTTGACGCTTGACAGGGGTTTTAATGTACAATATAATTATGATAAAGCTTTTCACTAAAATTTCTATATATGTGAAAATGAAATATTCTAGCTTTCGACTACCAATATAAAACAATATAACCCTCTGAAGAAGTACTCAATGATTCAAGAGACTGTTTTCTCAGAAAGATACCGTAGAAGGGCTTTAATTTAAACAAATGGCACTCAAAACCTTTTAACAAAGCTATAAGGCATTGACGTCATTTTAGTCAATTGCGTCGTAAAATATATTAATAATTATGGTACTTTTATGCTGCCATAAAGAAGCTTACATCTTCAAAACGTTACTGCCTTTTCAACCTTATAAAACCCTGATCATTTCTGCTAAATTTCTGTTAAATTTTACACAGAATACATACCATAACTTCGGTTTTGCGAGGGCCATTTTTCGACTCTTCTTCCTCGATAATTTTAACAGCGACTGACAACTTCTCTTTTGAATGTTTTGTGCCGGTTTCCAAGCCATTTTCGTGGGCAAAAATCGCTTGAAAAATCACCGAAACAACGGCTAAATAGACAAGACTTTTAAACATGTTTTCGCTCTTTGTTAAAATGATTTTAAAACGAAAGTATACTGCGAACGTCAGGAACAAGACCCGACACAGTTGCAAATTGGTAAACACAGAGCGGTATAATATTAATATATTAACTTTCTGCATGGGTAATAACTATTGTTATTAAATATTCTAATCAATTATTAACCAAATATGGCAATACTCGTTTCAGTTCTCCTCGGCCGAGGGAAACGAATCGCGGATGCGGACAATAATAGCGGATGAACGGAATGGAAAACAAAACGCGGATAGCTACACCATTCTATTTATATTATGTAGAAAAGGGGGTTGGTGTTCGGTTTATCATGTTTTAATTAATTTATTATTCATCACAACCTAGGCCGGTCAGCTAGGTCAATAGCGATCGATGTAACTTGTTGAACCTTTTATAACGTTTGTATATATTATATACCGATATGTTCGGGTAAATTTGAGCAAGGGAAAATGAAATTTATTCGAGTTTAATAGCGTGGACTGAGGATTTCCAAATTGACAATTGGATTTAGTTTGAGATAACGGGAGTTCGAGGCTTCAGCTGTACTATGTTTTTGGAAACTCAATAACCGGAATGACTTTCCATATTAATATTTCTGAAATTGACCACAAGGCTGAACAATCTTGAATTTGCGCCTGGTACTTTTTAGCCCCTATTTTTTTAAGTTTGACCTTCGTCTTCCATGCGTGTGTGACAGACACTCTTGACATACGCAGGCACAGAATAGATACAGGTCTGCTCAAAAGCGCGCTCATATATGCTTGTATTAGCCGCGTGCTTATGAGAATCCCTTATTTTGGTGTCTCATAAGCACGCGGCTCATCTATGCTTGTCATCTATGAGAATCCCTCTCGTCAGCACGCCGCTTGTTTTAGCGTGTTTGTTGACAAGTTTTACCATTCGGAGATTTACAATTACAAATTAATATTGAAACTGTAAAAAACAGTTTCAGGTATACGCGCATTCACTAATGAGCAATGACAACTTCAGTAAGCCATACATTTTCCGATAACGACAAAACGCTTGTGTAGCCTTTAGTCGCTCTCAGTGACTAATAATTGTTTGGGGAGAGGCAAATTTGTCCTCCTCCCCCCCCTTGATTGGCATAAAAATTAATTGGCATAAAAATTGAAAAAGAGGGGAAATGGGGGAAAAGGAAAGTGTGTCCATTTTTGACATTTAAATTGGAGCTACATTTGCGTGCAAAAATGTAAAGGGTCAGGCACTGAATTTTTGGCGACTTAATTTTTTTAAATAAAATTTGGTGATGAGGGATTATGTAGATATTACTATAGTTTGATACCACTGAACAAATCTGCTAGTCGAGTGGTAGTCTCCTGGTGTTGCATGAGGAAGAATTACGGATCGACCCCTGCTGTAGTCGGCAAACCATTTTAATTAATTCCACCCGAGTCGAGAAAGAGTTAAGTAGAATAAGAAAGGAGTTACAGAAAGTGTGGGCGAGATCGTCTAGTCGTAAGGACAAAGTGTTGCAATTGTGCTAAGCCAAGATCGATTCCCGCTGTAGTCAAAAAGCCTTATAATGTCAGGCATTGTTGTTTATTAATTCCACCTGAGACGAGAAAGAGATATGTAGAATAGAAAAGGAGTTAAAGCAAGTGTAGGCGAGATGGTCTAGTGGTAAGGAAGAAGTGTTGCAAGTGCTTAAACCAGGATCGATTCCTGGTTGTGCCGAAAGCATTTTAATGTCAGACATCATTGTTTATTAATTCCATCCGCGACGAGAAAGAGTTAAGTAGAATAAAAAAGGAGTTAAAGCAACTGTAGAAGAGATGGTCTAGTGGTAAGGACGAAGTGTTGCAAGTGCGTGAAGCCAGGATCGATTCCTGGTTGTGCCAAAAGTATTGTAATATCAGGCATCGTTGTTTATTAATTCCACCCGAGACGAGAAAGAGTTAAGTAGAATAAGAAAGAAGTTAAAGCAACTGTAGGCGGGATGGTCTAGCGGTAAGGACGTAGTGTTGCAATTGTGCTAAGCCAGGATCGATTCCTGGTTGTGCCGAAAGCATTTTAATGTCAGGCATCGTTAATTATTAATTCCATCCCAGACGAGAAAGAGTTAAGTAGAATAAAAAAGTAGTTAAATCAACTGTAGGCGAGATGGTATAGTGGTAAGGACGAAGTGTTGGAATTGTGCTAAGCCAGGATCGATTCCTGCTTGTGCCGCAGCATTTTAATGTCAGGCATCCGAGCCGAGAAAGAGTTAAGTAGAATAAAAAAGTAGTTAAAGCAACTGTAGGTGAGATTGTCTAGTGATAAGGACGAAGTGTTGCAAGTGCCTAAAGCCAGGATCGATTCCTGGTTGTGCCAAAAGTATTTTAATGTCAGGCATCGTTGTTTACTAATTCCATCCGCGACGAGAAAGAGTTAAGTAGAATAAAAAAGGAGTTAAAGCAACTGTAGAAGAGATGGTCTAGTGGTAAGGACGAAGTGTTGCAAGTGCGTGAAGCCAGGATTGATTCCTGGTTGTGCCAAAAGTATTGTAATATCAGGCATCGTTGTTTATTAATTCCACCCGAGACGAGAAAGAGTTAAGTAGAATAAGAAAGAAGTTAAAGCAACTGTAGGCGGGATGGTCTAGCGGTAAGGACGTAGTGTTGCAATTGTGCTAAGCCAGGATCGATTCCTGGTTGTGCCGAAAGCATTTTAATGTCAGGCATCGTTAATTATTAATTCCATCCCAGACGAGAAAGAGTTAAGTAGAATAAAAAAGTAGTTAAAGCAACCGTAGGCGAGATGG